GAGTCATCTGCATTTACCTGGAAGGATAAAGTACAGAAGGCAAATATGACACCCAGCTTCTACAACAGTTTTGAAAACCCCAGAACACCACCTGAGGGGGTTAATCTTTCAGGGTTTTTCTGGGAGAGGTTGAGGAACTAGCTCAGGGCTTTTTGATGTTGGGGTTGGCAAGGCAAAACACAAGACTTGGCTGCTATTAACAGCCTTCCCTAGCTTTGCCAGAGAAGGTCAGTCACAAGGTCACCCTCACCTTTTCTCTGATGCTTAACATGATGATAATGCCTGAAGCAATTCCTGTTTCCTCTGCCCTGCAGAAAATCTTTGTAACCCAGGTGCTCACAGGAAGGCACCTTTCCCAAGATGCAAAGACACACAAGTTCAATGAAAGTAAAAAAAAAAAAAAAAAACCAAACAAAAAACCCAAGCCAGCTGAAGCCAGGCACATGCAGCCTCTTTAAATACAGATCGTGTGTGTAGTTTTCCTGTATCCTGCTGTGGTTCATACCTCTGCCTCTGGCTGGTCCTAGAGCCTTGACCCACCAAAAGATTTTAATTTCACTACAGGCACCTATACTGAATATTTAGGCACCGCTGGCATCACCAAAGACTTCTGTCAGGCCTCTCTTAACAAGAAGAGTACCACACTTGCCTGCATTTCTGCCGCCAGACATGACCAGAGCCCTCAGTCTGAGCAGTGATGAGCTTCTGGGTACCAACCGTTCTCTTGCCTGTTTAGCAAACAGGACCAATCTAGCAGATGCTCCCTTGGATATATCATGTCAGGTTCAGGGGGAGCGGAGAGGGTAATTCTGGTGGTATTATCCAAGTGGTAGTATTATCCACATCAGCAGGGATTAGAACAGCCAGCTGGCATGCAAGAAAATCCAGGTTCAGATCTCTAGGGAAGATAACAAAAGCATAACCCAAATTTTCCATTGCAGTGCTGTGTGTAATGAATATTTAAAGCAGAACCACTGCAGTAGCAGACAGAAAGTTCCACTTTGGGTGTTAAACTTCTAAAAACTTAAGCCCTATCTCTCTCCAGCATCTGTGATGAACTCAGTTGGTTTCCCATTTAGCTTGCTGACTTTGGCTGGGAAGCATCTGAGCTTCCCCTTAGAGAAGAGGTAAGAGCCATGTTTGGCATGGATCTGCCAAAAAGTGACCCTGGGGTAGAAAGACAAAGGAAAGATTATCGTGAAAGTCAGCATAGAGATCACATCAGTCACTAAAGATGGTGACTCCAGGAAGAAATCTTTTTGCAACCCATCATTTCTACCACCCCAGGCAGGAAATTGCATCATTTCTGCATCCACACAGCGAAAAGCTTTCTGCTTGGGCTGCAGCAGATATGCAGTGGAGGAAGTCATGGGACACAGGAGAAACCTTTGTGGGTTGACTAGGATGGATCACAGTAGCTCCAATCCCAGAACATCTCCTAACCCTGCCCCACAACCTGCTGCAACAGAGCCAGGATTTCTGTCTCGCTTCTGGGGTATATACCATCCCTGGCAAGAGCATCACAGCCGCAGATAACGAACAAGCAAGGTGATCAGCTTTAATGTTTTCTGCTTGGTTCTCACCCTTCACTTGCGCTACAACGCCCCAGCTGTGAACTTTTAACCCTGAACTTGTTCCAGATTGTGAGCCTTTGCAGCAGACAAGTCATAGGCAGTAAATCCACTTTTCAGACAATGGTGTCTGTTGAGCTGTTCTCCTTGGTGCTTTGCTGCAATTCACTTTCATCCACCTGCTGCTTTTCTGTCTACTCAAATATGTGCATCAGTAGTAGTGGCACGCTACTCACCTGTGGGAAGGAGAGAAAGGAGAAGCAGCTTAAAAAGAGGGAGATCATGCGATGCCGTGAGAAGACCCAAGGATGCCTCTATGTGCCTCATTGGCCTAATTTGGAGAAATACTGGATTTGCCAGCATTTCCTGAGAGTTGAAAGAAATCTAGCCTTCTGAGACATAACACAAAGGTAAGTAACAGACAAGTAAAATGTTTGCATTTGGGTGAACGGTCCAGACTGTTTTCTACTATTTCTGCCTCCTACTTACTGGATCAAGGGACACTGCAGCCGTGAGCCAGGGCAGAGCTCCTTCGTGTGACACGTGTGCATGTGGACATTGGGATCTTATTACCTGATGCTTTAGCTGCTCCAGGGAATGGCAGCTGGAGTAGGTCCCACTCGCTGCTTGGAGCCCCGGCTCTCCGAGGATGACGTTAGGCTGGGACAGCAGCTCCCGGGTGCTATTGCAGCCTGCCCTGGTGGACTGACTCCCTTTAACACAGGGCAGAAGGAAGCTGCAGGACACTTCTGTCCTTTAAAAATAAATCCCAGCACCACCTGCACAGGGCTAAACTCTGTCATTGCAACCTTAATGTACAGTGAAATCAGCTCATTTTAAAATCAAGCTTGCCGATGTAACAAATAGCGTGATGCTGACCTGGGTAGATACACAATAAGAAAAATCCCAAGCGACACTTCTTGTTTTAATAGTCAACCTCTATCTTTTACAGTAACACCCCAAATTGGCATCCTACAGCTAAACACAGACAAAGATGTCTTGTGAGAGATTAACGTAAAATGAAGGCATGGCCAGTCTCCTCCCTCACAACATCCCTTCTGCTTCCATAGATACCCAAAACACACATGTTTGCCACTAGTTTAGTCATCACAGATTAAAAAAAGACAGCAAGATGAAGGCTGGTTGAGCCAGTAGTAGAGCTTTGTTAATTCATGCCAGGCAGCAGCAGTGGTAACAGCTCGGCGCTCAGCCTTGCTGACTGCTCTTAGAAATAAGCCCAAGCCATCGTTCCGGCAAGGAGGTTACCACAGATCTCTGCCGTAAAAGGAGTAGATTGCTCTTAAAATCTAACTGATGCGGATGACAAATGTTAAGAATGGCTAAATAAGAAACAGCTTACTTGGCTGATTTCCTATGCTGGCCCCTACTGCTACTGAAAAAAAAATCCCTCTTAACAAGCCAGAGAAAAATAAAAACCAGCTGAATATCTTTTCTAAGATGGCTAGTTTTCACGTTCCCATCCAAGATGGTCTATTTTGCTGTTGGCTCCGCTCTTGGCATGAAACTGGCCCTGAGGTACCAAACTGGGGATGAGGGACAAGTGTGGGTTTAGGGGCTGCTAAATCTTCAGCTGGAAAACCACACTCACAGACGCAGAATTTGCACCTCGCTAAATAGCAGGCTGTTATTCAAGCAGAGAAAATTAGAAGTGACTTGTCTAAGCTAACACCCAACTAATGGCAAACTGGTGAATGCTAGCAGACCGAGTCTAGTCTTAGTGTAATTAAAATGGAAGCAGATCTATTTCTTCAGAGCCAAGATCTAGCTAACAAGCCTGCTTTAGAAACCAATCAAATTTACAATAAAGCAGCAGCCTCCAATGTGTGGGAGGGTACAACACGTCACAATTTTTTTTCCATAGGAAAAAGACATTGGAGAAAGAAACGGAAGGAGATGAACATCATTTTGAACTTTTGGGTAAGTGCTTGCCTCTCCCCCACAAATCATCACTGCTTTAGGGGGCCATTTGAAGTGATCAGAAAGAGTGGATGTTGTTAAAAACTAAGGGAATTTTAGAGTTACAGTTTAGGTATTTCTCAACTCCTTTGAAGAAGGGAAACAAAGGTAACTCGCTGCCAACTTCTCTGTCTTTTGTTTCACACATGCATGTCCAAACAGAGGCAGAGTTTGCTACAGGAGTTGAAAGTTTATTAGAAAAATACTTGATCTTTGATAGCATTGCATATTTTGCACATCCAGTTAAAATGGTTTTTGTCACTGTCATTCAAATTCATGATTTGTTAACAACTTCTTGATGCAATCAAGTTAACGTACTTGTACGCACAGAATGAATACCCGTAATGGAAGGGCTTCTTACTGAGAGGCAGAGAGCCTGTTCAGGAAAGATTACCTGTTTGTACTGGAAAATCACAGAAGCGATGCCATGGTTTCACAGCTTCAGCAAATGTCCTGAGTTCCCTCTTTCTCCCCTGGGGACTTGCGGGTGATGGCAATCCAAAAGTCATCAACTAAACGGGTCACAAACTAAGCCTCAAAATCATGAATAGTTTCACTGGCATCTGCCTCTACTCTAAATGATGCGCTGTTAGTCCTACCCCTGCCGCATAGACAGATTCAAGAACTCAGATCACTTGTTTTCAATGGCTGAAGGGCCAGTTCAGTTTACAGAGAAATCCCTGAGATTACACATAGCATTGAGCTCCTGAATAAGGAGGAAAAGTGACACAGTAGGATAAGTTTTAAATGTCTTGGACTACAAAGCTCTCACAATGTTTGTATCTTTGACAAAATAATGCTGTAGAAGTCAACATCTATTGCACTATGCTTTGAAAAGGTTTAAAATGAAAGAGTTCAAATTAAAAGCATCTGTAGGCATATGATTTTTTTTCTTGGGTGTATGGGGAAGGCACCGGAGTAAAAAGCCCTGATTAACCTTACTTGGTCCCTTTCAGAAGTATAAAATGGCATCAGTAATTTGGAAAATCTAATCAGAGAAAGAGGGAGAGAGGAATCTGATAGCAGTGTGTAGGTGTATCTTCTAACAGATGGTACCACTATGAACCACACAAACGTGGCAGCACTTGTCTCACTTGGTTGATCACAGTCCAGTGGTTTTTGATTGCATATTTTGATATTTTCCTCCTGTTTGCACTTTAACATCCATCCGTAGCAGTAGTAGCAAGCATCTCTACTCAGAAAGGTACCTGAAATGACTCTCTGTGGGTCTGAATACCCCAGGGGAGTTGGAAGTGCCTTCATATCCTACATCAATAGCAACTTTAAGAAAATGCAACTGTACCCATTTGAGTTAGCCATGCAACACTCCAACCTTACATGGAAAAAATTAAAAGACATAGCCACTAATTATTCTGGCATAGGATTGCACCAAGATCCTGTGTGTTCCTTAATGGAAGGCTCATGCAACCTGAAGAATGAATTCAGTCATGATTACTCTACTTCTTCCTGATCCAGTGAAGTCAAAGCCTTCTCCTGTAACACAGAAAGAAAACTTACAATTATAAAAACAATGTGGACCATCATCCTAATTTCAACTCTGCCAGTAGGTTTGCCAGGAGGATTTCCTGACCTTACATGCTATCTATTCCAATGGACACAGGCTGTACAGCTGCTGAATGTTTCCACTCACTTCATGAAGCACAAAAGGACTAGGATCTCCATTGCAAGTGCCTCCCAGCAAATCCAGATAAATGAGCTATGAAGGGCAGCAGCTCAGCACCACTACTGGCAAAAGAGCACCTTGCACAAGTGACTTTGAAAGAGGGATATGAAAATAAGCAGATGCTTTTCTGTAGGGAAGGTGGAAGCATACCACACCGTAAGGGCAGACTGTATGAAATGCTGAACACCTATGCTGTCCCCAGAACAGCAGACTTCCAGGGAGAAGTATAGGATTAGGACAAGCATATAGTTTCCTGGTGCTTCTCCCAGTCTTCAGCTATTTGTGGTGGAGAGACTGACAGTGCCAGGAATAGCGCTTTATACTTAACAACCCTGCATGAATGTCTCCTATTGATTTTTGGACCTGTGTAAATAAAAAACTTGCAGCATAGCCGTCTTATAGCAAGTAATTCCACAGCTGGAGTACATGCTGTATTAAAGGATGTGCAGTTCGGTTTCGTTTGCATCTGGCCCATGTTAGTTCTGTGTAAGTGTGCTGCTTCAAGGTGCCTTAGGCTGTGTGCACAAGACAAGGGACGCAAAACACGTACCCAGCCACCCTGGTCCTGAATCCATGGCTTGAAGTGTTCTCTGAGGTACTTTAATCCAAAGCCCAAGACCAGGTTCATAGGATGGTTGTCCACAGCAGTAAGTCTGGTGGCAACTTCCATTGTAAAGGCAACTTTTGTGCATTGTGTGTGGCCTCCTGGTTCTCTTGTTGAATCTGCTGAGACATCCTCCAGGAACACATCAGTGATCCTCTTGAAGAAGGGGTAGGACAGCATGTCTTTAAAGCACTGATAGAAAACCCTGTCCTTTTTGATCTGAAAATAAGAATAAGGATTGGTTAAACTGAGCCACTTCTGTTGGTATTGCTTTCCCCATCTCACTGGGAAAGGAGAGCATCTCTAAGTAATACATGCAATATTGTCTAATTGTGCTGATGAATGCAAGAGATGACACAAAACCCACACCTTGCTGTAAAGCTGTTTCTTCAGGCACTGGAGGTGGGTCTATGTTTTTTCCTCAAAAAAAATCTTCAGGTTTTTTTGCATTTGAATGAGAGAAGCAAAGAGAGAGAAAGAAAAACAAGTGTGACACTGATAGTGAGACCTGCAAGTGAGGAGACGTGGGAATACAGGAGCAGTGGGAAGATGACAGTAAAAGCGAGGTGATGAGAAGTGCTGGCAACAGGCCATGCCAAGCTCCATTTGCTCAGTCCTGGTCTTTGTGACGCTTCTTACTGTATCTGGGTACCTGTCTGCTGCAGGAGCTAGGCATGCTCTCCATGTGGGAGTATACTTTTTTAGAGCAGAAGTGGCAGCTAAAGAAGGGAGTAAAGGGAACAAGTACCTATATCTTTAATAGAGGAAACATCCACTCTACCTAATGGATTCATGCAGGGGTTCTATAGGTTTTGGGCAAGGCTTTCAAAATGCACTCAGAAGATTTATTTCCC